TATATTAATTATTATTATAGTTAATTATTAATTATTATTAATCTTATTAATATTAGCAATATTTAATATTACATTGACTTCCCCCTGCCTTTGGAAGTTTTAAGTACATTTCTCCAGCATAGAAAAAAAGAGAGGAAAATATGCATCACAATGAATAAAAATCTGAATTTACCTGAAGCTCAAGTACTTGACGAGGACGTACCCATCTGCGAAAAGAGCGGAAAAAAAGGGATTTAGGAAATGCTGCCAGAGGGGCTGAGCACAGAGCACGTGCTGTGGTTTGGGAGGCTGATTTGCCCCCCAAAGCTGGATTTCTGTGTCCCCCTGCACGCTTGTGATAAATTGAGCCTCAATAGCTAATCAGAGGTTAGAATCCAATTAACAATTTATTAATTAATTAATAAAGCAAACAGATATTAGTCAAGCAGCCACAGCGCTGGGTGGGCTAGGCGAGTGACTGGACACCAGCTTGGTGAGTTTCCCCCACCAACACCTACGACACCGTGCCGCACGTACTCTGAGCTCCCTTTTTATACCCCCTCTGTCTCTAGGTGACCTGGTGTTTCTAGAAGTTTCCAGAGATCCTGATTCATCTGCTTTGTGTTGTTCCTGGGGTCTTTTGCAGTTGTTATGATGACCTCCTGGTAGGCAGGAGCCCTCTCTGCACATTCACAGTGCCCTTCCTCCCCCCCAGACACACGAAGGTGTCACAAACTGGGCAAAATTGTGCTGGGGCTGTCAAACTGTTTTAATAAAGCACGTGGGGATTTCATGAACCAACTTGTCACMCACTCACATCTGCCCTGGCGGTTGCGGCAGATGACGGTGTGGCCGTGGCCGCTGTCCATCACGTCCAGCTGTTCKCCAGCTGTGACCGGGAGGTCGCCGCGGCTCCGGCCGGGCACCGAGCACTCAGCCGTGGCTCTGGCCAGCACACGGAGCTCCTTGTCGTGCTGCGGGCAAGGAGGGAGCCAYGGGTTACTCTGATGGTGTGGGGAGKGARGGAGGAGGTTTTGGGATGGGYTGTGAGGCTTTGGGGAGAAAAAMCCCTGYAACACCSCYGATGAAGATCCCAAAATGGGGGAGAAGGCAACGAATAAAACCTCACAGGTGAGTGGGACAACATTCCCAGCACAGCTTTAATGACCACCAAGTGTCATTAAAGCAAACCAAAGAGCTGCTTTTGTCGTCTGGAAATCCCAGAATCGGGGAGAAGGCAACAGATGAGTGGAACAACATTCCCAGCAGAGCTGAGGACTGAAAAGATTCCACCAAGTGTCACCACAGAAGTGCTTTTGTCCTCTGGAAATCCCAGGTTAGGGGGAAAAGACAACAGATGAATGGAACAACATTCCCAGCAGAGCTGAGGACCAAAAAGGTTCCACCAAGTGTCACCAAAGAAGTGCTTTTGTCCTCTGGAAATCCCAGATTAGGGGAGAAGGCAACAGGTGAATGGAACAACTTTCCCAGCAGAGCTGAGGACTGAGCAGGTTCCACCAAGTGTCATTGAAGCAAACCAAAGAGCTGCTTTTGTCCTCTGGAAATCCCAGATTAGGGGGAGAAGACAACAGATGAATGGAACAACTTTCCCAGCAGAGCTGAGGGCCAAGAAGGTTCCACCAGGTGTCTTTAAACAAACCCCAGAGCTGCTTTCCTCCCTTGACACAATTATTCCTCACTCACCGTGAATGTTTCTCTAGAGAGCTTCTCTTCTTTTTCCATCTTCTTGCTCTTTTCTTCGCTGCTCTTCTTGAATTTTAAGAAGCTCCTGCATTGAGAGACAAAAACTCATTTCTGACCTCCATTTAAATAACCCCTAAATCTGGATTTGTGACCCAGAGCCCTTGGAATAGGAAAGCACACCTATTTCACCTCCACATTTCTCAGAAAAGGGTGAATATAAAATCTCAAATCAACTCAAGCCATTTTGTATTTCCATTTGGGATAATTTTGTTTTTGGTCTGTAAGCAGCGTGGGAACAAATCAACTCTCTGCTGAGTGTTTCAAATCAGCCCTGTTTTTATGGAAGTCAACAATCCACTTTTCCCCCAGCAGTTTGTTTCCTTCTGGTTTTATTTATACTCAGAAATAAAGGGTCCCCAGATAACTCTCATCATTTATGGCACTGGGGTTTGACACACCAGATTTTCCTYGGTTTTTTTAGCACGTGGAGGAGAAAAGTCACCCAAGCAGACATTTATATGGCTCTGTAAAGTGGAAAACAAGTTATTACAACCCACTTAAAAAGAATGGGGCATTCCCTGCATATGGAGATGCCACTTTTCCTGCTGCATGGAATTACAGCTGTAGCATTCTTTTTAAAATTAAGACAGGAAACAAACACAAAAAAAAAAAAAAAAAAAAAAAAAAACAACAAAAAAGCAAACAAAAAAAAACCCCACCCATTTGTAATAAATTATTCATCCTTGGCTCATTTTGATGCACTTGAAATTAAAAAGGACAGGAAACAAGAGCTGAAATTAGGGACTTTTAAGCTGTGAAGAGATGTCAGCCTGCAGGACCTGTGATCCCTGGAGGAGGGATGGAATTGCATCAAATTCCTGAGGGGCTGTGAAGTTATCCCTGTGGTGTTTGAACAGCCCCATGCAGGGGCTCTGGGGGGAAAATCTGAAAAACTGGGCTCTGGTTTACACCTGTTTGAAGTTTTCAGGTATAGGGTAATGAAAAAGGTCATTGCAATGTATATTTTTGTGATCTAAAAGGGGAAAGAAATATCCCACTTCCATTTTTTGCAGCATTGGAAACAAAAAGACAAAACTAAAAAAAAAAGCTAAAAACCCCAAACCAAACCAAAAAGCAAAAGCAAAACCAACCAACCAATAACAACAAAAAAAAGGGCACAGCAAGCGTCAATACAATCAGCCCAAATAATCAATACTTTTAAACACAGGGCTCTTGGCAAAATCACAGAATCTTAGAATGGTTTGAGTTGAGACCTTAAAGGTTATCTCATTCCAGCCCCTTTCTCCATCCCAGGTTGCTCCAAGCCCTTTCCAGCCTGGCCTTGGACAATTCCAGGGATCCAGGGGCACCCACAGCTTCTCTGGGCACCCTGTGCCAGGGCCTCCCCACCCTCCCAGGGAACAATTCCTTCCTAATATCCAATTTAACCCCACTAAAATAGCAAAAACCAGCCAAATATACAGCAAGTAAGAACTTTTTGTCTCAGCTAAGTGGAAAGTCACAACAAAATTTCAGGATAAGACCCCTGAGTATCCCCTTTTGCTCCGAGTTCAGATCCAAGAGTTTGTTTCACCCTTGAGATATTTTCTGCAAAAATTCCTGAAATCTGGTTTCAAAGGGACTAGCAGCCAACACAAAACATCTCTGCCATCAGGAACAGAACAYCCCACCCCTGAGAGCACTCAAGAGWCGTGCMCAAAGTCAGACAAGGAAAACAGAATGGAAATGGAGACCTTTCCACGTCGTCGATGKTTTTGCTCACGTCCCTGAGCTTCCTCACCGCCCGCAGTTTGGGCATCCTCACTTTGTACTTCTCATCCTTCCCCCTGAAAGGAACACACACACACAGCAATTCAGGTTTTTTTTTTTTTTTCCCAGCAGATCATGCCCTCACACCCATGTCCCTACAGGGTTGTGATTTTTTTTTTTCTTTTCCCCCCAGCTCCTGCCCCAAAATGCAAACACTTGCTGTGATTTACACTAGTCATCTGGCAGCAAGACACCAGGACATGCTGTTCCTATTAAAAACGATTTTTCTGACAAGGAGCCTGCCAGGACGGGGCTGATAATGGGGTCTGGGAGACAGAGCTGTCCTTCCTTAGGAAAATGAGCTGATTTTTCACGTGTTTCRGGGAGCAGCTCTCTCCTTTTCACGTCCCTGGCACTAAACAGGAGAAACACCTTGCCAAATTAAACACACGTGGTGAGGACACCTGGAACTGTCTCCAGAGGGCTGAATCCCAGTCAGCTCATGACTCTCAGTGGATTTTCCAAGAGGAAAATCTCCTTGGCCTGAGGACACCCCAGGACAGGGCACCCTCCTCACCTGGGCTCTCTCTGCCCCACCTCGATGTTGTTGTACACGTTGTCCTCCTGAGGGGCAGCTGCTGTGGRTCAAAATGTAAGAAGGAAAATTATTAGAAGATGTCATTCTGATCCTGGTACTCCAAAAAACACATTGCAGAGCAAAATTTGGGCTGCTCCTCGTCACTCAGCCCACAGGGGCCAAGAAAGTGCAAAGAAAATGCAAAGAAAATGCAAAGAAAATGCAAAGAAAATGCAAAGAAAATGCAAAGAAAATGCAAAAGGAGCCGCGGGGCTCTGAGCCCCCAGCTAAGTCCAGCCCAAGGAATGATGCTTGGGTTTGCTGGTTGTGTTTTCTGGATGGGTTTGGCCATGCAGCTCCACAGATGGGGCAGGAGCAGCAGCCCAGGAAGGGTTCCAGCCTGAGGATATTGGGTCTGTCCACTCCAGCACCTCCTCAAGGCTGAGCTTTTTATGTAAATGATGAGCTTTGACCCTTCAGCAGGCAGAAATAAAGAGTTYTACAGAGAGCTGCTGGCTCAAACATCATCACCAGCCTGGTGATGGACTGCTTCACACGTTACCTTCCTGGATATATTCACATCTGCAGGAAAAATGCTCTTCTTTAAAGCAAAACCACCCTAAAATGAGCAAAATTCCACCCTCAAATGAATCACAAATCTGAGTCTTCAAAATCTTCAAAGCTCCTGCTGMCACATTACAATTTTCAAAAAGGCACGAAGCACTGAGTTAATGTACAGCCCATTTGTCTCTTCACACACACACAAATCCCCAAGAGTTAGGCACGGGTATGTGCTTACCTAAATTTGGGACTGAAATGGAAACCAATCTGTGGAGAGAAAAAAGGCTTTTAGAAATGATTCTGCATATCAGCATTGCCCAAAAAGCCACRAGGAGCCCCAAAAAGCTGTCAGTGATGCTGCTGAAGTGACAAAGGTCAAAGTGTGTGGGCTCCATGATACCAACAGCATTTCTCAAAATCAAATTTTAAATTTAATTTAAAGTTGTTCATTTAAATAAATTGTTAAATAAGCATTTCCATCCTGACARGAACAACAGCCATGTGTTCATCATGCAGAAAATATCTACTTTGCACCCAAAAAACAGTCCAAACTCCTGCTGCCCTTCCCAACAGCAGCAGGGTTGCTGGACAGTTGGCTTTTCTAGTCATTAGGAGTTCCCTCTTTTAAGTCTGTCAGTGCCAGGGGTTGCCCAGAAATTTAAATGTGGCAATGTCTGTCCTGTTTTTGAGAGCTTTWAAGGTTCTGTGAGACAGGAGAATGGCACAAAACCTGGTGGGTCCTTCCCTGTAATGATGTTTATATTTGAGGGAGCCACTGACACAGCAGAGCATCTYGTGTGAAGGGGTATGTGAGGAAAAKAAATGTTCCTAACTTAAAAGARGAAAGGTTTAGCCTGGAATTTCCAGAGAAATAAGAAAAGGCAGCATTTTCCTGGAGTTCAGGCACTCTGCACAGGGTGAAGCCCTCGCAGTGCAGGGTGGGCTCTGCARGCAGCTGCTGCACATTTGAGGAAAAGGCAATTTCCCTGGAAAWTTAGGCAAGGTTTGGAATATTAGAGCACCCAAAAAGGCACTACAGAAAGTTATACAATATTCTCTACCCTGTTAGAATTAAGACTCACTGGTCATCTTCTTCAGCAGAACTGCTGCCAGCTCAGCTCTGAGTGGGACTGGGAATAAAACCCCTGAGCCCTCAAGTGCCACATCAGCAAGGCTGGCCCTAATCCTGGCAGCTGCTATCCTATTTCTGCACTCCCCTGAATGCCTCGTGTCGTGCTGAGACATCAGAAAGTGCCAAAGGCAGCAGGGAATCTGTGAAAACCTGGGAACTGCAGCAGGACCAGCTCCTGTAGGTTCCTGATGCCAGAGATTGTGGAGAAGCTGCACAGACAGACCATCGGCCACATCTGCCACAGCAGATCCTAGTGAGTTGACAGAAGCACTTTTGGCCTCAGTTTCCCCCCAAAAAAGCTGTATTCCTTCCTCCTAAACCTCCTGCTCTCAAATAATTGCCACGAAGAATGCTCAGGTTTCAATGGGAAAGGGGTGGGATGATGAACATTTCCTTACCTTAGGTTGTCCTTGAGCCTGAAATTGTTCAGCTTCAACTTTTCTATCTTAAACAGGTTTCCAAACCTCTTTTGCTTTTCTGTTCTGTCCAAAAGAGAAGCAGGTTTTAAATTAAGAGAGGTGCAGAAGTAGCCCCAGAGATCCTGAGGCAGGGAGAGGAAGGGAGCAGACCCTGGACCTCAGCTCAGAAGGAGAATTTCAGCTTTAACAGCATCATATGGATGATGGACCCGCAGGGATTAGCACCAGCACAGCCAAAGGTGATTAATAATTAAATCCAAGATCGAATCTTTGCCCAGTTTTAAACTCTTCTGTGTTAATTGAAGTTATTTTCCTCTGACCCAACAGCTACAGGGTGATCCAAGTTTATCTGTAGTAAAAACTCCTGAGGGAAAGGCAGCATTACCCAGAAACATCACAGTGGCACCTTCTGTGCCACCCCACATCACAAATTCCTGTTATGTGCACCCTCGAGGAGGATGGGCACAAAAACACAACTGAACTTTCACCTCTTAATCCWTTTGGGAAGCTCAGGCAACGCATAAACCTGAGGCTGCAAAAAAATAACACACCCCGTGGAAGCAAATATCTGGGGAGACCAGAAAAAGAAAAAGATCATGAAAAAGAGCAGGTTGTGAGTTAGTTACAGCACAGCAAGTTCTTTTCCAGCCTTCTGTGATCTGAAATGGGAGTGTTTTGTCCTGTTTTGTGGGTACAATTTGTCCCTTGGGCATATTTTTTTTTTTGTCTGGAATGCACTAAAAAGGTGCTGATTCTCAGCTACAGCTGAGCAACGCTTTTAATCAGAAGTGTGTGTTTGAAGGAAGAGCCTGGGAGGGCAGTGCTTCCAATGGATGGAGAGTGTTACAGGGAAAAAAAAATCCCCTTCCTTGCTTTGAGATTTAATTTTGGTAACAACTTTTTGCTCCCTGAGTGTCAGCCAAAGGAAGGGAAGGGAACAAACCCTCCCACGCAAGAGCTTCCCTGAGTGGAGTCAAGAGGGGAAAAAGGCTCCCAGCCAGTGCCTGCCACATGAGATCAAGGCTGTAGGGTCAGAATTTCAAAGTGCAGGCTAAGAAATTGCAACTTACTCTGGTTTAGCTGGATTATCACCCCCAATGTCCACATCTTCATAGGTTTCCTCGTAGCTGTTCCCTGAAACTGAAAACCGAGGGGTGCCATGAGGACAAACTCCGCTCAGCAGCAACAAAGTGAGGTTTGCTGCACAAATGTCACTCAGACCTTTCACATTTTGCTCTTTGCAGAGCCTTCAGGGCTGCTCAAATGAATTCCACGCTAAATTCAATCTCTCCCCATTGATTTTAATGGGATTTCATTATTATATTATTATATTCAGAGCGACCCAGCCAGAAGGAGACACTGTAGATGCTGAAAGAAAAATGAAACCAACCCCAGCACCTCCTGGGAACCAACCCAAATTGAATATTGTCTGAGCTTCCCCACTTACTGCTGTCTGAAGTGAAGGAACTGGAGGCATCTGAGCCGTGGCTGCTGGAAGACACAAGGGKGACACGGGGGTTGCTGCAGCAGGGATTTTAAATGACATTTCACAGGGGCAGGTGCTGCCACACTCACAGCCTGTCCTGCAGCTCCTCAACGTCGTCGTAGATGTCCTCTGYTGCCTGCAGAGCCTGCCAAGGGTGCTGGTCCAAGGCTGTTCCTTCCATCCCAGGATCTGGAGCACCAAAATCCACGCTGGGAACTGGAAATGAGAGAGGAGCTTGGCTTTAGGGGCTTTTCTGAGGAAATTCTCTCAGGGCAAGGACAACTGTTGAGGGTAACACCACAAATAAGAGCCCTAAAGATACAGATATACTTGCCATTCTAGGAGTCCAGAAAATTCTTTGCTCTGAGCCACTTTGAGGTAACAAAAATGAACAATTTTGGAAGATTTTAGCTTTAAAACTAGTTAAAGTCATAAAAATATTTAAGGTTTTTTTAAAAAAAGAAGTCTGTTGATATTCTCAGTTTTGACAGCTCTGACCCAAATCTTCATAACATGAAAGCATCTCCAGAGATTACTCTTGGATCTCCAGAGAAGTGATTGCGGGGAAAGCTTGTCATGGATGGTGGAAATGTTAGGATCCAAGTGATGGATCATCCATTGGAATACACCTGTAAATCAAAATCTTGGACAAGACCCAAGGAGAATGAACATCCCAGAGATGGATTTCACCGAGGGATGGAATCAAGCCTGGGAGCTGCACCTCATAATGTTAGAAAAAGATTATTACTGGAGAACTCAGGCAATATTAAATCCTTAAAACTGATTAAAGAGAGTTGGAGCAATGTAGAAATGCAGCCATGCAGATAAAAGCAGATAATGTTTGAAAATGAACATGGGAAGTGTCCAAGGCCAGGTTGGAAGGGTTTGGAGCAAACAGGGATAGGGGAAGGTGTACCCTGCCATGGCAGGGGGTGGGATGAGAGGATTTTTAAGTTGTCTCCCAACCCAAACCATTCTGATTCATTCAGTGGATCCCACTGGACACAAGGGCATCACCTCAGTGTGGTCCAGCTAAAGACCAAAATTTCTGCAAAACATTCAAAAGAAAAGCAGGAAGGGGTGGGACCCAACAATTCCCCAAACCAGCCTCTCTGTTGAAGCAACAGCAGGAGGCTCACCAGGAATAATTTGAAAAAAAACAACAGAAATCACCTCCAGCTGTTCAAAGGCCAAGCAAACCAGCAAGGATTTTTACAGAAACAGACACCAACCAAACCAGAAAATTATTAYGAGGTGATTTAAAATAATAAAAGAAAATATAATACCTGAGAACCACACCAATAAAAATAACCACAGTCACAGTCAATTTACACTTTCTCCTTCTCACTCCTGGTCTGCCCACAGAGCCCAACAGAGCCACTTTTCTCTYTTTCATCTTTGAAACTCTGCCATATCACACCAGCAGCTCGCAGAACCTTTACAGAATAGGCCCCATGAACATTTATACATAAAGATGGGAAAYTCTGCTCACAGAGGGGATGTGATTTGGTTTAATTGTGCAGATAARGTGCCCATCAGCAGCTCTGGTCACTGTCTCAGGGTATCCTGAAGGAAGGAGCCCAAAATCAGCCTGGAACCACAGGGAGATGGAACAAGGAGCCATCACCCATCTCAGTGAGGGACACAGGAGAATTCAGGCTCTGAATTCTCTGTTTCCACCCCAAGCCTTTGCCAACCCTTTTCTGAGACTCCACAAATGATGAGGAGCAGAGGAGATGGATTTCAGCTCTCAGGGATAAGGGCAATCTGCTAGAAAAACAAACACCTGGGCTGGAGTTGGGGTGAACCAACGCAGGAAGAGATTTGTGCAGCCAAAACAAATGACTCCGACCAGAACACAAACACCCGCTCAACCTTCCGAACCTAAACCAGCTCGAGAGCTATATAAATTCAAGGTTATTCCTCATATGGAAGAGACATTTGGGAGGCAGATGGGGCTGAGGGAACACTCAGAGCAATGAGACACTCACAGAGCTCGGCGCTGTCTTTAGGCAGCCCTGGCAGGATCGGGAACGGGGCAGTTTGGGGACTGCTCACATCCTGCTGCCCTTGCAGAGCCTTCATCCCTCCTCTGCCATCTCCCCTGGCATGGCTGGTGGGGTGCAAGTAGCCATTTCTACCTGTCTGGGGTCAAATATTTGGTTTGGTCAATGCAGTCTTTGAAATACATCTTTAAATGCACTTTATAATATATACATACAGCTTTCTAATATACATCTATGCATCCATGGGAATATAGGTTATCTTTCTGTGCATTTAAAAGAGTTTCACACCCTTCCCCATCAGCACTACCAGCCTTTTAAGCTGAAACAGTTGAATGATGTACAGGCAGAAGGGAAGGCAGAAACCCCCTTGGGATTACAGGCTCAAATCTCAACAGCTTCCAGAACAGAGGGGGGTTAGAAGGAGATGAGACATCCTATAATAATTATTAAAATTAATCTCAAGGATACAATACCTTGAAAATGTTGTTCTCTTCCCATTTCATCCTTTCATGGCTTGGTTTTCCCTCTTTTTCATCCTCTGTTATAGCTCTTTCCAGACCGAAACTTTCAGAAATGAGAGAGGTCTCAGCACACACACTTCAGCAAAGTCACAGACAAACACATTGCCTTACAAGAGAGCCCCAAAGAAGCAGCTCATTCTCCCTATGAATGAGGTAAATACCCAAATGACCCCAGTAAAGTAAGGCCAAGTCCAAATCTAAAGGCCAGTGGTCACTCTGGGATAATACAAATCATTCTTTGAACTAATRTGATTGTTTCCTCATGTAGGAATGGAAAAATCAGATCCATTTGCCAGTGGTGACTCCTGGATCACAAAATGTTCCTCACACCACTCTGTGCTGAGATTTAGGAAAGCAGATAGAAAAACAGGATGCAGGAGTTGATCCCTTTTTTTGGCAGCATCACAACATTTCCCATTTAAGTGACCCCCTTTTATCCCACAACTCCTCAGTCCCCACCAACAATCCCAGACTTCAGACAGTGACCATAAATGCACCCCACAAGGAGCCTGAAGTGTGACATTTGTGGGGTGAAATTCAGAGTGGACCTTGCTTTGCCCCCATAGCCCTGGACATGGAACCCATTTGAGAGCCTCATAAACTCTSCAAACACTAAAAGAGTTCAGGTTTCAGCAGGAAAAGAAAGTATAATTTCTTACAATCTCCTTTCCAGATATGCTTTAGACCAAAAACAATCCTAGAAACCATGAATGCTGACACAGAAAAAGCATCATCTACCCTGTCTTGGTCATGAAATATATGACATTTCTTTCTATTTACTGAGTGTTACAATATTTAACTCCTGACCTGAATCAGTTGTGGGGCTAGAAGAAGTTTGAGAGAGAGAAAAGGAAATTACCTGGATTTGGCAAAGGGRAAAATCTTCTGTTTCTGGAATAAAGAAGAGGAAAGCCTTCAGCCACCGCGCTTTTCTCAGCAGTCAAGCTTTCACACAAAGCCTCAAATGTCAATGAGCATTTGAAGAAATATTTCTTTAGGAAGCCCAGAAGTATTTTGTGTTTGGAATAGTCATCAGACGAGGATATTTCATCTGCTTTGCAGGACAGGGAATGCACATATTGACAAATTGTACAGGGAAAATAAAACTGTGCAAGGTTTGGACTCGGACAGCATGGAAGCTGTTACAGAATGGAGAGCTTGCAGAAGAGGAGGAGAAGGAAGTTTTTTTAATTTAAATAAAGATTTACCATAAAATGAGGTTCCAGCCAAGCCAGAGAGCCTCTGAGCAAATCACACACAGATAAATATGATTGGGAATCTGTGCTATTTCCCAGGCAGCTCGATGGTTCTGCAAGCCAGGACTGAAAGTGGAGTTTGACTTGGTCTACCACCCACATCCATCCAGCTGGTGTCACCACTTCCTGACATTTCTGCAGTGGAAATCAAGGAAGCTGCCTCTTCCCWCTGATATGTGTGGCAATCTCATTAGTTTTTGTGTCCCTTCAACAATTTCTTATTTATTTTTTGAGACTCTTCACAGGCAACGCACAGAGAAATTCTTGGCAGGTAAGAAATATAGATATGAAAAGTTTTCGAGAGAGGAAAATATGGTGCAGTCAGGATTAGAAGATCCAAAGTGGCTGTGATGACACTCACCTTGTGTCCTTGAGGCTCTGCCTTAGGTGCTAGGAAAGATATTTATGAACAGATATTAATTTTTAGCCCATATTAAAGTCAYTGCACTTTTAGATGCAGAACCCAGCTTCAGTTGGGATGCTCAGCATCCAGACACACAATCACAATGGGACATTCACCACATCCTACAGACCCTTCCCTTTGCTGTTTGAGCACTGGTTTACAAGCAGGGAACTGCAGCACAACCCTYGACTGGCCCCAGTTTTCAGGGGGCTGTGAAATCCCAGAGGAATTCATGTGGCAAAGGATTGCTTGGATCCTTTCCCAATGGRAGAGAAAAATCAGTGCATGTGGCAGAAATGACCTCCCAAAAAGAGGGAGCCTTGGAAAATTTAAAAGCAGAGCAGGGATACCTTCCATGGAGAAAACTGTACCGGGAAAAAAATATTGATGGAGGTGCGAGAGTTTGGAATTCTGTGCCCTTCTGTTCCCAAGATGATGCTGAGGTTTGCCTCACTATCTTTTCTTTTTTTTTCTTTCTCCTCTACATGGGTAGCATCTCATGATATTTCCCACTGCAGTTTTGCCATAAGTATCATTTCACCCCCAAAATTTTAACTTTTTTTTTGTCTGTGCCCCAGAGTCCTCACACTACACCATGCAACCACTTTTCTCAACAAGAAACTGCATTATTTCCTATTTTAAAGGCTTTTTGTTTTCCCCAGCTAGCACGTAATTCACCTCCCAGTCCTGCCTTTCAAAGTACCTTCAATGACACACAAGGTTGTGGTGTCCCCAGGCTGATTCAGGTACATCGGGGTTTCTTCATAATTATTCTGCTCTTCAAGTTGAGCACTGAGAAGATGAAAAAGAGAGAATAGATTTTTTTTYTTYYTTTTTTTCCTTGTCCCTTTTAGTAGCATGAAAAAAAAAGAAAATTCATCTTAAGGACAAGGAAATCAAGGGCTTTGATAGTGAGCCTACAAAAAAGCAAAGTGAAATCAGGAATTCCTGTGGCAGAGGTTGAACCTTCCCCCCTGACTCCACTCTCTCACTGCTTGTCCTTTGGGAGGRCAGGCTGCATTTGGAGGGCTCAAAGCACGTCAGGAGACTTCACACCAGGGTTAGAGTCTCCTGCCTACAGCAATCCCTCAAGTAGAAACAAGAACAAAATAAAAATCGTGAGGAAATGGGAGCGCAGCATTTTTCGAGCTTACTCAGGTGCTTTGAAATTGATAATTCCCASTTGCTCCGTTTGGCACGTGGCTCCTGGTGGCAGGGGACAACAGGGGAAGCAGAGATAGCAGAGGGGGCGTTTAAAGGTCCTGCTCCTGAGCTTATCAAGCCACCAGCTCGGTGCCAACAGTGTGAGTGGCACATGCCAGCCCCAGGAGGAGGGAAAGCACCACAGCTCCAAGTGTTGATCTCCCCAGCCCAGTTCCCATCTCCTCATTCTCCTTTTTACCTTTCCTCCTCCAGAAATTCACATTTGGGAGTAGAGGCAGGGGGGAAATCCAGCATTCCTGAATTACCCAGGCAGATCCCCAAATCTCCCCCTCCAAATACAGAAGCAGAGTTTTTTGGCATTTTAGGAATGCACCRGGAAGCAGCAAACGCACAAGACACAGCTTGTAACACACGTGGGGGACAGGGTAAGGTGGGGAAAGAGCACCAGGAAGAATTGGAGCTGAAAGTCTGCAAAAAACCCTCAGGGAGGGTCTGGTTTTTCCTGGAATCACCCCATTGCCTCAGCTCAGAGCAGAGGAAGGGCAAAGCAGAACATGAGGGACAAGAAACTCAAGGGGCACTTCAACAGCAGTGAAATCAGAGAAAGAGATAAGCCCTGAAGGCTGTGCTGACCACAGAGGCTGCTCCAGCCCCTCACTGTCCCCTGCAGCCCTCAGCCCTGGGGAAGTGCCCTGCTGGTCCCAAATTTACCCTCAGCCCTGGGGAAGTGCCCTGCTGGTCCCAAATTTACCCTCAACCCTGGGGAAGTGCCCTGCTGGTCCCAAATTTACCCCCAACCAACCCGAGCTCCAGATCAGCCAGCACAAGAAACCGTGTCAGGGTCTCTGAGAGACCAGGCTTCATTCCAGGTGAGGCTTCGAGGAGGGGAATTTCCATCCCCAAACCGCTGCTATTTTGCTTTAATGCCAGAGTTATTTAAATCATTCCCCCAGTTATCACACTTGTTAAATATTAACGAGTGACCTATTGTAAAGACCATATCACAAGTGTTGGAGCACCACAGCTAATCCTGCGTTGCCAGAACAGCTTCTTTCAGTGCAGAACACCTTTGGAGGGGGTTATTTTTTGACCAGCTCTCTTCTGACAAGTACAGGTTAAAGGTTAACAGCAGCCCACGCTGGCAGCAGCACCTCATGATGTCAAGAACAACTTGCTGCTGATAGCTGGAGGAGTTGTTTGGGCACAGAAAGTATTTTAAGAATCCCCCTCTCTTTGCTTTGGTTCAGCTGTTCTATTTTCCCTCCTTACAACGAGAACAAAACATGTGTGTGGATGTTTTCCTCCACTTTTGCTGTTCTTGTTGCACCAAGCCCAGGCTGCTGCACAAAACTCATGACAAGTCAGAGACCAGAAAAAGTCAGGATACAAAAAAAATTGTGTCTGCAAGATTTTTGAGCTGTTTCATATAAACTTGAGTGATTTTGGACCACCACTCAATAAAAACCTCAATTCAGCATCTAGAGACAGCTGAAGGCATGAGGTGGGGACAGAGGGCAGTGACTCCTGTGCCCTGGCTGTGMTGGCTGCAYAAACACAGSATTAYAGAACCACACAGGAGTAAAAACTCYTTTGCTGCTGGCAGAGAAACCCCCAACACCTGCTGGTTGTGCCAGGGCTTTGTTTCAGCAACAACTCTCAAAAGCATCTCTTTTCTAAAAACACAGAGATTGAGTACACAGCAAACAGGAAGCAAAAAAACACACACAAAAATGACTCTGCAGCTAAAACACCTGGCAGTGTTTTCCTTCCCACCAGCTAAACCAGAACTAAGGACACAGGGATGTGGCTCTCCATGAGGCTTGAAAAGCCCATGGGAGAAAACAGGGATGAGGTTTTCTCCATTAGGAGAAGGTCATCCCAGCCAGCTTTGATTTCCAGAATCCGGGAATGGGTTGGGTTGGGAGGAACCTTGAAGTTCCAGCTCCAAACCCTCCCTCTCCCACAAGCAGGGACACCTTCCACTGGAGCAGGCTGCCCTTGGACATTTCCAGTTCCTCCAACAACCCCTGGAGCAAGTTACAGCCTCCAGGAGCGGGATGTTCCCTCCAGGATGAACGGGAAATGGGATGGGGATGTTCCCAAGCCACACCCTGCCCTCCCCCAGGCTCACCTTTCGGGGCTCAGGTAATCCTCTTCTCCAGCAGCTGCACACAAACACACACAGAGGATTAATGTTGGAAGGGCAGGCATGGCACAGGACTGCCAGCAGGAATTGGGGACGTGGCTGGGTTAATATGGCATTATTCACATTATTATTTAATATTTCCAGGCAACAACCCCAGACTCAATATAACTGAGCAATATTGAGAGAGCATGGAGATGATGGCACATTAATGTAACTGGTTCCCCTCATCAGATTAATGCATTTAGAGAAGGCAAGTAGGCTGGAAAAGGGTTTCAGTGAAAAAATTCTCTTTCCCTCTCRTTCTTATCAAAGCCAGGGCACAGCAACAAGCGCTGGCACTGTAGAGGGATTTTAGCAGAGCCCTTCATACTAAAGCAGCTCACTTTGAATTCATCAACAGTTGTGCCTAAAGATCTGGCTATAATTAAGCCTGTATCTATAAAGAAACACCACTTAGCAGCTTAATAAGTGGTGCAGAATATTCTATTACACAACATCAATGGGGTTTTATTATGGGAAACTGAACTTTTGCATTTCTTGATGTCGGAACACTCAACAACATTGCCCTGTGTTGTATTTAACACAGAAGTAGGGGGGATTAGCAGGCTATTTTCTAACAATTTTATTGTGCCTTCCCATAGCTGTGCACTCTGGAGTCAAGGCATTTCCCATTGAAGAGGAGTGATAAAGATCAGCTCAGCTCACAGGCAGCTGCTGCTGCTTTACAGCCAGCTGTAAACTGCTCTCAACACGTGGGATGGCATCCAGCCTGGAAAACCAGATCCCTTTTCCAGATTAAGGGCAAAAATCAGCCCCACTGGAGCTGCTGGGCTGTTATTAATGTTGGAGGAAGAAGTTATAACGAGTAACAACGTCTTGTTTCTGCACGCTGGAAATCGCGGCCTTACAGACGTCAATAAAATGCACGTTTCGATTGATTCTCTACAGAACAGATCTGGGGGAAAAAAGCCAGGCAATCTCTTACTTGTTTCATTTCCTCTGTGGGTCAAAGGCAGGAGGCTCTGGAAAGCTCTGAGATCAAACTTTGGGGGTCTTGGAGGCTTCCCAGGGGCAGGACCCAGGGATTCGGCTGGAGGGAGAGGTTTAATCCTTGGCCATTTCCTCCCGGGGCTGTAGGACCATGTTCCTGCTCCAGGCTGGCAGAAGGGGAGCTCTGATTCTGCTCCAAAGAAGCACAAGGACAGGCAGAAATTAGTCCTGATTTATGCAAAACCCTATGCAGGATTATTAGTTGTTATCCTGATATTTCTCACTGGCTCTGTTTCCCCCCGATTTCAGCATCCCCATCACACAGCAGCTCTGTAATTGTGTTACCAGAAATGCAGAACAAAAGGAAATGGTCATTTTTTACAGATTTTTACCACATGAACCATGCTGGGGTCTCAGCTCTTGACAGCTCCCTTCCCCTGGGTTATGACCAGCCCAATTTTCTGTGCCTGTAACAGTTCAATCCCACAGGATTTAGGGAATGGCTGTTTTCAGGGCTTAGCCCAGGAGAGGTGGCTTTGCAGAGTAAACAAAGACTGAAGTTTTTCAGTGCCCCGTCACCCAGTGTGACATCAGCAAAGGGCACTTCACAACCTTGGAGTTTCCCAGCACCAGTTCCTCCAACAAATACATTCTCCAAGATTAAATATGACATTTTGCAAAGCTGGGAGGGTGCAGAGGGGGAGATTGAAGCTATTTTAATTGGAAGCTATTTTAATTAATGTCTTTGCAGACCAACCAAGCCTTTCACATCTGTGCGAAGCCACGTTCACCTTGGGATTGCAAACAGCCAAAGCAGACCAAAACTAAGATAGTCCTGAACTATCTCAAAATGTAGACAATTCCTTTAAGTGAACTTTAAAAAATTTGTTGAATATGGGGAACTCTCCCCTTACTCAGGCTGAGCAGCAGTTTGGGATCCATTCCTTATCTCCAGGACCTCCAGAAGAAGAACAGAGCATCCCAGTGGGACAATGTGGCCTCTTGTTTGAGGGTCCCAACCCTTAGGAGCTTTCCTCTCCAGCTGCTGTGTCCTGCCTTTGCAGAGCACCTGTATTCCTATATATTTAGGGTTAAAAACACACCTTACCGTACCTTTCTGGTGCCGGGGTGGCTCTCTTGGTGCACCATAGCCCAACTGGCAGCACGCAGATGCCACCACACCCTCAGCACCGGCTCCATCAGAGCTCCTGTGTCCCCTGGGAGCCTGGGGAAGGATATCTTCCCTCTGGGCACGCCAGTCCAGCCCAGGGGAGCTGCCTGAGGGTCGCCTCCACTCTCTGCCCGAGGCAGAGGGAGCTGAGTTTGCCGCCCGTTGGGTTGGAAGCTTTGGAGTTGCTTTCTCATTGCGGGATAAAGTCTCCTCCCAGATCTGCAGGGCGTGCTGGAAAGACTCTGGGAGCTGAGGGTCCTCTGGAGATGCTTGGCTTGGTTCTTGCTGGTCAGTGCCATGGGATGAGAGAGGTTTTTCTGAGCTGTTCTCGGGAGAGCTCAGCCCTTTCTCCGCGGTGCCGATGCCCTGGAACGCTTTGGTGTGCTCCCCATAACCCAGCCTGGCCAGGGGGCTGTGCAGGGTGGGCACAGGGGGCTGAGAGGTGGGATGGGCAGGTGTGAAGGTTTTCACCTCTCTCCTGGTCGGGGGCAGAGGGCTGGATGTGGTGATCCCAACAAAGCCGGGTTTGGGAGCGATCCCCGCTGGAGGAGTCTGGCCCGGCTGCCCCATCCTGCTGACCAAAGCGGGGTCATTCTGGAATTTGGCTCGGAGGGCTTGGAAATCAGTCACACCTTCCTGGGTGGGGGGAGAGAAAGCACAGAATAGCTGCTTAGCAAGGGGCAATTCAGGCAATTGTGATGGTTTCAGACAGAAAGAGGCTGCGGGACACCAGACTGGTGTGCCAATCCTGGTGAGAATTTAAAAGCAGCAGAGGAGAGTTTGCTCTTTCAAAGTATCCTCCAAAGGCTCACAAATCACTTCTGGCAAAGCAAAAGAGTTGAAAACGGGAGGAAAATGCAGGAGTAAAGCACGGAAAGACAGCCAAGCAGAGCCAGTGGAGCAGGGGGATGCCCCCTTCTCCCCAGTGATGGAGAATTCCCCTCAGGGGGATCTGGCAAACACAAAATTGAATGTTAGAGCTCCCTGGAAACTGAATGTTAGAGCTTCCTGGCAGAGGTGCTGCAGTGCTGTTGATGCACCTGCTGGGTATGAAAGCTGCACTTTATTTTCAGTACACAAGCACCAAGGAGGGGAGAGGCCAGGGCTGCTCTGCAGGTGCCTCATCCATGCCCATCCTCCTTTAGAAATCTGCACCACGGGCACAGAAGCAGTAAATATCCTCCTTGTTGCACTCCAAACGAGTCCTGGGACAAAATGCCCTTCTTCCATGATGCTGGTTCAGCTCACGGTCCCCAAGACTCTTTGGATCCTTCTCCCCTCACCTTTAATGCCACCCCAGGGAGCAGAGGACACACCACCCAAACGTTGGGACAACCAGAGCATCTCCCAGAGTGGGTGAGGCACACGGGCTATGACTCTCAATTCCTCTCCCACACAGTTACCAGCACCCAAGTCACACAGGATTTTGAAGAAAAGGATCTAATCAGCAACAGTGTAGTTTAAAAGAGCACTTAAAGAACATTTTGTTTCACCCCCTCATTCCCCTACATCCCCCCATCCCATGCTGGAGAAAAGGCACCACAATTTTTGCCCGCAGTGCTGTGGCTTAAATTCGGCCCTGAACTGAACTAGGGAGAAAATATGAAGAAAAATTTATGAGCTACTTAAGTCCTTGAACTGCTCTATAACTTTTTATATGCCATGATTACATTAGGTGCTCTGCTCTGGCAGCTCAGTTCAGCGCGAGGCTTCACCAGGACCTGTCTAATGAGGAAATTGGAAAAAATTATCTAGGACAGAACTTCGTTATTCTGAAAAAAGCCCCAGCCTTAAGTGTTAAGACAGAACAGATGAATAGCACACTGAGGTTTTATTGCATTTAATTGCACGATTTATTAAACACTGACAATTTCTCTTGAATAACCCCTTTCACTGACTTTATTACTTTCACAGGGTAGTACATGATGTAAAGAAGCAGCCCTTGGGGGGAGAGGTTTGAATTGCTCCAATTATATTTCATATTAGTGGTCAGCAGCATGGATGCTGTGCGAGCTGCCCAGACAGGCTAATCTAGCGGCGAGCCATGGGAACGGGAGCTTCCAGAGGCACACGGAGGATGAATCAGATTTTTTTTTTAGGGAAAAAAAACCCATAAAAATCCCACGTGCACCCGATCCCTCCAGTGGTGCCAGACAGGAAATAAAGCAGTGAGGTGCCCTAATGCAATTGCAGGGAGCTTTTTGCACGTGCTGCAGTTGAAGAGTTCAGTGCTGTTTACCTTCCTTTGCTGATTTTGTGTGCTGCAGCAAACAGTTCCTCATCAGCCCCCTCAGAGACAAAGAAAAGGGGAAGGGAAAAGCACCTGCTTGTCTGAGTGTGCCCCAGGTGAGGCAGACACGGGGGTTTTTTGGTCAGGCCTCTCCCTGCACTGGCTGTGACAGAAGTGGGCTGTGACAAAAACAGGCTGTGACAGTCACAAGTTTGGCACGACCTTTCATTAGAGAGGGATGGATGCCAGCTTCCCTTTTCCCACCTAAATTGTTATTCCTCTTGCCTTGAAAAGCAGCTTCAAGTAATTTACCTAATTAAGTGAGAGATTATTTGTGCTTAATGCACCCTCAGTGCCCCTCACTAGGATATGGTTCTCCCAGAGTGCAGCCTGATGGGATATTCACAGGGAAAGGGGAAAAATACGGCCCCCAGCCAACTATAGGGAAGTGTAGGGGTGGATGGGGTTAAATTGCACCCCATGGCCACCTCCTGCACACCCACAGCCAGCTGGGCTATCCATCCATCCATCCATCCCTCCTACAAATGCTGTTTCCTTGCACAGGGCTGATCTTAGCCAGACCTTCCAAGGTGCAGTGAGTTCTCCCATCTCTGCTGGGATGGTTTTCCATCAGAGCTGGGATTGTTTCAAATCCCAAACCCATCCAAGCAATTCTCCTGTTTGACCCACACACCTCCAGGTGGCCCAGGGAGATGCTGAGCCTGAGCAGGACACTGGTCCCCAAAAAACCAGACCGGCTGACAAGCAGAAAGAATACACCAATAAATTCAAAGGGCTGCCAAAAGCTCACAATGTATATTGCAGCTACATCTGGCCAAATAATTGCCTGTGGATAATACAGCATTTGGCAAAAGCCCATGCAAGATGAGAGGGGAAGAGAGAGAAAAGGAAACAAAGTTCCACTGTCCGGAAAGCTGCGAGCACAAAGGAGTCAGGGGACAGGAGCATTACAGTCAGAGGGCAGTGAAACTTTCTGTATTTTGTCCCCGTAAATAAAATGCTCTTCTAACATCGAGATCAGTACAGGAAGCAGAATAAAGTTCAGCTTAAGGCTGTGATAAGGGTGCCTTTTAGAAGGAGATTTGTGCTTATGCTTTGGATTCCTAATCAAAAGGAATCTGAAACACAGAATCCCAGAATGGTTTGGGTTGCAAAGCACCTTAGAGATCAACTCATTCCAACCCCCTTCCACTATCCCAGGGTGCTCCAAGCCTCGTCCAACCTGGCCTTGGTCGCTTCCAGAGATCCAGGGGCAGCCACAGCTTCTCTGGGCACCCTGTGCCAGGGCCTCCCCACCCTCACAGGGAAGAATTCCTTCCTGATATCTGATCTAACCCCGCTCTCTTTCAGTTTGAAGCCATTCCCCCTTATCCTCTCACTCCAGGGCCTTGTTAAAAGTCCTTCTCCAGCTCCCTTGCAGCCTCCTCAGGTACTGAAACACTGCAATAACGACACTCTAGAACCTTGTTTTCTCCATGAACTAATTAAACAGAACTAATTCTCATCAGTTTAGTGAAGCTGCTTTTCTAAAACAAATGAACACAGCAAGAGCAACCCCATCCAAGTCGCAGCACACCGGTCAGCAGAGAGGAAGCACTGCCTGTTCCCCTCCTGGAATTTTTCTGGTTTGCTCCATCGTTTATCTCGATTCCCAGGGGAGCTCTGGTGGGTAAATGTTTAATCTGCCTGCCCTCTGCCCCGGCGTGGGACTGCTGGAGCCGAGCCCAGGCACCCCGGGCAGGCTGAGGAGTGTGAGCGCAGGTATCAACTCATTAATCCGCCGGCTTCTGCCAGAACCAAAATAGATAAATAAATAAACCCCAATTCTACTCTTATTACACTAAGAGGAACAACTGCAGATCGTGTCAGAGTGAGAGGGGAAGGAAGCAGGCACTGGGATTCCCTGTTTTGGGGCAGAAAAGCAGAATCTGTGTGGTCTCCGCAGAGAGCGCGCCCGTCGCTCCCAGGATAAACCGCGCTCCGTGGGGAGAACAGCCCAAGCTATGGATCGGAAAACCAAGCAGAAACCTTCCCCCCAGGCCAGGCGCAGAGCCCCAGCAGTTACCAGGTCCATCCCCCGCTGCTCCGTGCCTGCTGCAGCCGCTCAGCCCAGCACATTCCGTGCCCCGCGTCCCGCAGCCGCTCCCGCTGCAGCGCCCGTCCCGCAGCCACGGCAGCGAGGCGGAGCAAACCCCAAACACACCTGAGCTGAGGCTGGGTCTGCCCCCGGGGCGGGGAGAGCCTCACCTGGGCAGGGCTGAGCCTGCCCTGCCGCCCTCCACCGACCCACGGCTCCCCGAAACACACATGTCAGCGCCGGGGCAATCTTGGGGCAGAAAAGGTAGATATCGGGTCTGGTTTGCTTTTAGAGGGAAAGAATGGCAGTTGGCTTTGGCATGGGTGTCCCCACAGCACCATGTGGGTCCATATAATGTTCATATGTGTCCATATGATGTCCATTCTGATGTCCATATCATGTCCATTATGATGTCTAAATCATGTCCATATGATGTCCATTCTGATGTCCATATGATGTCCATTCTGATGTCCATGTAATGTCCATTATGATGTCTAAATCATGTCCATTCTGATGTCCATATGCGTCCATATGATGTCCATATGATGTCCATTCTGATGTCCACTATGATATTCATTATGATGTCCATATGATGTTCATTATGGCATCCATTATGATGTCCATATGAGGCCCATATAATGTCCATATGATGTCCATTATGATGTCCATATATGTCCATATGATGTCCATATCATGTTATGATGTCCATTATGATATTCATTATGGTGTCAGTTATCGTGTCCATATGATGCCCATATGATGTCCATTATGATGTCTATATGTGTCCATACAATGTCCATTGTGATGTCTAAATCATGTCCATTCTGATGTCCATTCTGATGTCCATATGATGTCCATTATGATGTCCATATAATGTCCATTATGATGTCTAAATCATGTCCATTCTGATGTCCATTCTGATGTCCATATGCGTCCATATGATGTCCATATGATGTCCCTTCTGATGTCCACTATGATATTCATTATGATATCCATATGATGCCCATATAATGTCCATATGATGTCCATTATGATGTCCATTATGATATTCATTATGGTGTCAGTTATYGTGTCCATATAATGTCCACATGATGTCCATTATGATGTCCATATCATGTCCATTATGATGTCCATATCTTGTCCATTATCATGTCCATTATGACATCCACGATGATGTCCATCTGTGTCCATATGTTCCATATGATGTTCATATCTGTGGCAGTTTACAGAATCTCAGAGTGGTTTGGGTAAGAAAGGCCCTTAAAGCCCATCCAATTTCACCCCATTCTCCCCTCCAAATCATCTTCTCAGGTCTCTCTTCACACCTGAGGAGAGATGAGGAGCCCCACCCCATCAGCTCCATCACTAATTCGAATTCTTTCCCCAGTTTTCAGGTCTCCCCATGGGAGACATGGGCATGAGCTGCTCCTCAGGGTCCTGGGGACAGGCTGGGTAAATCAGGGCAAACGAGACTTCTCCTATCACTGGGCATTTCTGCCCTGGAGAACAGACTGAAAGGACCTGTCCAAACACTGAGCCCTTGTTTTCACAGAGCATGGCTCCCAGGCTGGTCACCTTGGCAAGAAGAGAGATGAGAGCCCCAGGAGTTCCTTTTTCCCTCCATAACTGATCAAATAAGATTTCATCTCTCTCTCCAGGAGTGCTTGACGTTTTCCTTGGAGCAGAGCAGCTGCTGCATGGGGCCTGGGTGCTGGTGGCATCCAGAGGTGGCTGTCAGTGGGATTTGGGAGGGCAGGAAACTGAGCAACACTCGTGAGCTGACCCTAATCCCACACACCCAGCCCAGCACTCTCCTACAGATCATTCCCAATAAGATGCCTGGGAAAGAAACCATGAAGAAACCTCAAAAATCATCCCATGGGCATGGACACCTTCCACTACCCCAGGTTTCTGAAAGCCCCATCCAGCCTGGCCTTGGACACTTCCAGGGATGGGACAGCCACAGCTTCTCTGGACACCCTATTCCAGTGCCTCACTACCCTCACATGGAGGATTTTTTTCCCAACACCGACCCTAATAAACCTCTTTCAGTTTGAAGGCCCTCCCCTCTGCACACTGGACAAACCCTTTCCCCAAGCATCCCCAATGCCTTCAGGAGTGGGACTGTTGCTCTTCCAGCCTAAACTGACCCTGCTTCCCAGAGCCAAGCATGAGGGGAGCTGAAAAAAAGAAAAGAACAGGAAGAGAAATCAGGGAAAAGTAAAGGGCTTATTTGTCAGAGACATGAGTCGAAGCATGAGTCTGGTTCCTCACCACATGAAAAGCTCTGCTGCTGCTGCCTGGAGGTCTTGGGGAAGAAAGGGGGGTCCTGCCGAGCTGGGATTTGGCAGGGAAGCCTCCCAGGCCAGGGCTGGATCGCAGCAGGATGGAAATCAATGCCAGCTTTGTGCACAGGTAGCTGGGGAGGATTTATGACCCTCCCAGGGGTATGAACACAGGCCGTGAATTAAAGCACTGTTGGAAAACCGGGAGGTTCTGACTTCAGAGCCACAGTCCTGCGGAAAAGGACGGGGCAGATTCTTCCACGAGCGCTCTAAAAATTAAAATGAACTGCCAGAAGTTCCTTTAAAACATGCATTTTGTGAGTGCTCACCCCGTGGGACCCCGCTGGCCTCACCAGGGCTGCCATAAATCGCGCTGGGCTGTAACAACCGCATGGGGAGCACGGGGCAGCCCGGGGCTGCCAACATCAAACACCACACAAGTGGAAGACAGATTTTTTTTTTTTTTTCTGGATGTCCCAGCAAAGCACAGTGAGCACCTTGTCCACTGATGCTGCTCCACAGGCAGCACTTTGGGGTGGGAGCTCGGGGTTGGCTCTGGGGTTGGGTCTCAGAGGCACCGACCCTTAGAAATAAACCCAAACACCACTGCTGAGAGCAGCAGCTCCAAACACTCCCTGCACAGGCACAACCTCCCCAGGACAAACCATTCCAGCCTGTTTGAAAGTTTTAAATTTCATTACCTGGATGTTTTCTTCCTGCAGTGAAGCATTCAGTACATTATGTAGCTGCATCAGCCCAAGGGCTGCAAGCACTGCATCCAGCAGACTTATTTTCCCAGAATTATTCTTTCCAGCTTAGTGACTGGTGGGGTTTGTCATATAAGTGTGTTAGAGAGATTTGGGACTTCTTTTTTTCAACTTTTTTTATGCCTTTTGGATTTCACAGAGGGCCTACTGGAGAACAGGAACAACAGCAGAACTTGGGAATATG